TTCTTATTTTTTTGACCATTCACATTTCTTCTTCTGTGAAGTATCTTAGCCCATTCGTTGATTGGATTATTTGGATCTGAGGTGGTACATTTTTTACCCTTTTGACTTATAGTGTTCCTGAAGGCTTTCCTTAGCCCATTTATTGATTGGATTATTTGAATTTGTTTTGTTAAGGTTTTTGAGTTCTTTGTATATCCTGGAGATTAATGTTCCAAGTGCAGATGGAAAAGATTTTTACCCATTTTGTAGGCTCTCTATTCATGTTCTCAATTGTTTCCTTTCCCATGAAAGAAAAGGAAACAATTGAGAACATATCAAAACATTTATTTTGATACCATTCCATTAATTGATTCTTGATTTTACTTTTTGTGCTTTAGGAGTCTTATTGAGGAAGTTGGTTCCTAAGCCTACATGGTGGAAAATTGGGTCTACATTTTCTCCTAGTAGGCATAGGGTATCTGGTCTAATTGCTAAGTTCCTGATCCACTTTGAGTTGGGTTTTGTGCAGGGTGAGAGACAGGGGTTTAATTTCATTTTGCTACATATGGATTTCCAGTTTTCCCAGCAATGTTTGTGGAAGAGGCTTTTTTTCCAATGTGTGCTTATGGTGCCTTTGTCTAGTGTAAGACAACAGTATTTATGTGGCTTTGTCTCTGTGACTTCTATTCTGTACCATTGATCTATGTGTCTGTGTTGGTGTCAATACCATGCCATTTGTTACTCTGGCTCTGTATTGTAATTTAAGTTATGATATTGTGATGCCTCCTGCTTCATTCTTCTTGCTAATGATTGCTTTAGCTGTTCTGGGCCTTTTATTTTTCAAAATGAATTTCATGACTGCTTTTTCTGTTTCTATGAAGAATGTCATTGGGATTTTAATAGAAATTGCATTAAATCTGTTTAGCGTATTTGGTAGTATGGCCATTTTGACAATATTAATTCTGCCTATCCAAGAACATGGAAGATCTTTCCATTCTCTTAGGTCCTCTTCAGTTTCTTTCTTTAGCGAAGAAGCAGTTGTATGTAAGCAATTTGCCTGTTTGAGATCCATTTTAGGTATTTAATGGTAGTCTCCTTTCAAAAATTGAAGTTAAGAGAGGTAGAAACTAGAAGCTCCCAGTAACCATATTGATACTTTTTTTAAAACATATTTTTAAGTTGCAGATGGAACAATATCTTTTTTAAAAAAAATTATTCCATTTTTATGTGGTGCTGAGGATCAAACCGAGGGCCTCATGCATGGGAAGCAAGTGCTCTACCACTGAGCCACAATCCCAACCCCCATATTGATACTTTAATAAAAAATAATTTCTGTTCTATCAGTTATGCAAAGTGATTCAATCATGTTATGCAAAAGATCATATTTTGTTGTTGTTGTTGTTTTGTGATGGTGTCCTTTTATGCTTCATAGGCTGTTCTTGAATTTATAAGCTCAAGCGATTGATCCTCCCCCTCAGCTTTCCCTAGTAGTTGGGACTAGAAAGTGCCACCTCACCCAGCATAAAGATCATATTTTAAAGTTCTAACATCTTTTTATATAACTTCCTTCTATTTAAAATACGTGGATTTATTCCAATCTAATGTCATATTTGTTTGGTTGCCAAATAACCATTTTTAAAACTAGAGACATACTGTTCCCAAAACCCTTATATAATTTGGAGTACGTTCTCTCCTAAATGTGGTAAAGAAACATTTTTACTCAGTGTGTACTGTTAGAGGACATTTTAAATAGCACTTATTATTTCAATGTTTACCTTAGCCATTTCTTAATCAGATAATTAATAGTAATGACAATAAGGATAGATAATACAGATTGGCTTCTTATGTATCCTCACTTAGAACACTTTCAGTTTTGCACAGTCAAGATCTCCTTCTCCATCATGGACAGTACTGTGCCAAAAGGGTGATTCACCAGAGTCTCCACTTACGCTACACCACTGAAATCAGAGCCTTAGGGATAAATAAGGGAATTATGTATGAGAGAGAAGAATTGAGGCATTTATCTTCTACTGTGAATTGCTTTTTGCCTTTCTGTCATTCCTCTGTTCTTGTGCCTTTACTTTCCTATCTGCCTACTCTCTTTTTTCTGTGAAAATCAGAGATTAGGAAACTTTATTGATAGCAAATACTGATCTTTGGATTTAGTAATATGTCAATATGTTTCTATAAGAAATGCTATTTGGCATTACCATTTGTATTTTACATGACTTATATTCTTATTTTTCATATTAAGTCTTTAACATCCATCAGTTATCAATTTTCAATATATACAGCATTTTTGAAACGCTTCTTAAAATGATTAGCTTGGTTAGTAGTAGGGCAAATAAAAGCATACTAAGAATGAACTAAATTTTCCTACCAAAGAGTCACAAGTTGCAAAAAAATTTCACACCATAATTTCTAAAAGAATCACTTGTTACCTCATGATGTTGTGGTCTTATTTTGTGACTATATTCTTATAGCACTTAATTTTTTTTCTGGTTTCTTACAGCCATGATTTGATTAACTTGTATGTTTTCATAATATTCAGTTTGTTTTAAGGCTAGTAGTTATTTGATATTTTTAGATAAATAATAGACATGGTTAGGATAAAAGCTAACTTCTGAATTTTATCTCCACAAAATATCTTAGTTACAAAAGTATCTTTGTCTAAAATAACAGATTTAGTGCTGAAGTTGTAGTTCAGTGGTAGAATGCTTGCCTAGCACATGTGAGGCACTGAGTTCAATCCTCAGCACCACATAAAAATAATTAAATAAAATAAAGGTATTGTGTCCATCTATAACTAAAAAAAAATCTTTAAAAAGATCCATTAAAATAACAGATTTAGCTTTTTCTGATTCCAAATCACTCAAATTCCTCATTACTAAGCATTTTTTTCCACATTTGGAAAAATAACATTTTTTTTTTTTAGTCAGCTTCAGAGCAGTTGTTGTGTCTGTCCATGTACATTCCAATTTATAGTGAACCAAAGTCTTTCCCAGAATTTTTCAGTAGCACAATGGCTATATACTTGGACAAGAATTGATTATAGCTCTGTGAATACAGCCTTAAGGAGAGAGTTAAACAAATAGTGATCTCATAAAATTTGAGGTCATGAGAATCAGATTCACTCCCAACTGATGGTGCTAAAGTAGCATATTTTGGGTAGTAATAAAGAATATATGGCAAAAAAACCCACTAATATTCTCCTTGATTTCAACTAATGCTGATGAATCTATGAAATTCCATGTTTTTCTTATTTATTCAAAGACTCATGAGAAGAAATTATCTCAATAGAGTAATGACAAACACAGAAAAAGAGTATCTGAAGACTATCTGATAATTTGAATATGTACACAAAGATGCAGATTAAAAAGCTAAAGAATATATAAGTGATTTTTATATCTTATGAATGAGCCTCATTTAAGGGTAATATTTTTTCACATGAAATTTTAATTCAGACTGATCAATTATTTGTGCAGAAATTGCACAAGAAGTATGTGAAGAATGATCATTGCCATGAACTGAAACATTCCAACTCAATGAAGAAAAAAGTAGTGAATTTACTTAAGAAACTTGAAAAAAAAAAAAAAAAGCTTGGAGAGATAGGAAGAGTAGACTTATATGTCAGGAAACCTGGCATACAAAGTAAGTTATTCTTAATGTAGAAACTGATGAATTATCATCTATATACTTCTCCACCCAACTTATAATATATAAAATAATTTCTTTATGGGATAGGTAAATCCCAGCAGATATGTATTATTTACAGAATTTGAGAATTTTGAGGTGTTATTTCTTATCCAGAGCCATCTACTTTTCTGACTTGTAACTGTAATATATTTTTTTATTATACATGTCTTTGCTGCTTATATACTTATTATTTTTCAGCAGTAATCTTTAAAAAATTCTTGATTAATCAATGGGCACTAAGTCATAGATAGGAGGAAAAAGTTTTGATGTGCTATTGCACAGTAGGATGGTTATAGATTTAGCAATGTACCTGAATAGTTCAAAAAACTAGAGGAAAGGATTTTGAATGCTTTGCCATAAGGAAACGATAAGTGTTTTCTCTGATATGCAGATACTAATTCACAATAAGGGTGGGCTATGGAAGAACAAAGATACTTTGGATTAGGTAGAGGGGAGTAAAAGGAGAGGAGGGGTATGGGAGTAGGAAGGATAGTAGAATGAATCTGACATTATTATCCTATGCACATATATGACTACCCGACCAGTGTGAGTCTACATCATGTACAACCAGAAGAATGAGAAATTATACTCCATTTATGTATGATGTGTCCAAATGTATTCTGTCATGTATAACTAATTAGAACAACTAAAAAAAGAAATGATAAATGTTTGAAGACATAGATAAATCTTAAATCTGATTTAAACATTACATAATGTACACATATATTGAAACATCATATATCTCATAAGTATATACAATTTTGTTTGTATTTATCAATTAAATTTTAATTAAATAAGTAAAAAATAAAATAACAGATTTATAATATTTAGCTCTGCTTAATCATTACTACATATTTAGGAATCATATTAGAAGATAAGAACTTAAAAAGTAATGTATTTTTTACTGATTGTTATTCATACTTTAAAACAAGTTAAAAATAAGTAGTGTAGGAGAGCTTTACTCTGCTGGGTTGTTCCTGACTCAACTAATGTGTATTATGCACGGGGCTGCTGTGGTAGAGACATTGGCCAAAAGCTACATGTGAAAATAAGCCTGGAAGTGAGGATTAATCTGGTTTGATATTTGCAAATTATCATCTATGTATAGATTTTGTGTCTTTGGTATTGAACCATTGTTTTCAGTAGTTCATTTTAGTCTCTTCAGCTATTTGAATAAAATATTACTTTAAAAATAAGTTAATCGCATGAATCAATATTGAGTTACAGAATTTAAATGGCTATTTAATTTTTTCTAAGACTGAATTAACAAAAAACTTTAGGTTGATATAAGCAATTCTGATAATATGTTTTATTTCTCATTATAGAGCCCTGGAGTTGGCTGTAAAATACAAAACACATGTTGATACAGTTCTTGCTTACCGTCAAAAGTTTTTGGAGACCTTTGGTAAACAGGAAACTAATAAACGATACTTGCAATATGGAGAAGGTGTAAGTATTGTACAGTATTAATGATAATGTTATGCCTTGTAAATTTATTTATAAATTTATAAATTATAAAATATTCATTTTAACAAAAATTGAATAATTTTCACTGTCATTTTTAAAAGCATTACTTTTGCCTGATGATGTTGCAGTCTTATTTTGTGACCATATTCTTATAGCACTCAATTTTTTTCCTGGATTTCTATAGCCATGTTTTGATTAACTCATGTCAATTTGTCTTAAGGTTAGGTGCTATTTGATATTTTTAGATAATAGAAATAGGATAAAAACTAACTTCTGAATTTTATCTTTCACACAGCAGAGGGCACTGGCCAGAAAATGAATGCATACTTTCTTTCTTTGTAGAATCCTAGGAGTTAGGTTCATCTTACAGAACTGCCTTGCTAGGTAGACTTCATTTGCCTAGGACCAAGGTAGGCTCAATTTTTGCCTCCCAGTCTCCTACCAGAATCTCAGATTTTACTACTCCAATTAACAAAAAAAATTCAATATTTATCAGCCCATAAGAAGAGTCAGAACAAGAGAGTTTACCCTAGTGCCTAGAGCATAACTGACTTTGGCCACTTTCCCAGATGCTACAAGGCTAATACAACAAATCTCATCTCACTAGCCATGTAGATTTATTTTACCTAAGAGCTGTGATTCTCGGGCAGTCTTGACCTTGTTTCCAATTCTTTGAACCAGTTTCCTTACCTTTTCTTCATTCATTGTTCAAAAAAAAAATAAATTTAAGAATCTCACTCTGGGATAGGCATTGTATTAGAGGGTGAATAAGATACAGCCTCTATCTTGCTGTAGCTTGAGGAATATGTGGGAATACCTTGGGGTAGAATATTCAGGGGCAGAATTGGAGCCTTTAGAAGAGGAGACAAAATAGATGACACCTATGATTTCTACTAAAGCTAACATTATTTATTGATCATATTTAGAGTACTGAATGTTGTGATCTACGTTTATGCACTTCAGAGCAATTTTCAGGGTGGTGAAGGCCTTTAGGGCTATTTTTATTGTTTAGTAATGAAAAACTTCAATATCTGGATCTAGGAGAGCTATAAGTTGTAGGTTTTGTGATAGAAAAGGGGACATATTTTATGAAAGCTCTCGTTTGTTTGTTGTTGTTTTAACTTGGAATCTGCTAAATACTGAAGTGAATCATGGGAGTGTGGGCTGTAAAGGTCTTCTCTACTACTAAGACAAATTCAGTGTCCCTGAGACTGTAATTATAAAATATGACAGCAGCTACCATTAATACATTGCTAAGGAAATCACCAAATCACCTGATCATTTTGTCAATTTTAAAAATATGTCTATGTTGAGGCTGGGGTTGTGGCTCTGTTGTAGAGCCTAGCATGTGTGAGGCACTTTGTTCAATTCTCAGCAGTACATATAAATAAATTAATTAAATACATAAAGGTCCATTGACAATTAAATATATAAAAAAATATGTCCATGTTAAAACTGAGCACCTAGCCTAGGGATATAGCTTGGTGATAGAATGCTTACATAACGTGCATGAGAGTATGGGTTCAATCCCCAGCACCACATATGTACATGTAAAAATAAAAAATAAATAAAAACAACAAAACTGAGCATCCACCTTAAGTTTATTTTATTGTGTAATTTTTAATCAGATTAATGCCTACTCTGCTTTTTCTAATCATCATCATCAGTATTTTTGTAATATTTTCACATTAGGTACTTTCAAGAACATAGAAAATATAGTCATTTCTCTCAATGAAATATTTTAGATAGCAAAAAACTTAACATCCTTATCATCTTTTTTGTTATGTATATCTTCAACTGTTGCCAAAATATAATATTTCAATCAATTTAGCAGACATTTCCCAAGTGGGATAACCAGAACAACATGGTTTTCTTAGGTATTTTGTTTTCTTCTCATTCTGAAACTATATAGGTTACTTTGAATCCCTGTGGCATTATGTTCTAGTTTCCTACTTTTCTTCTTSATAAAATGTCATTTGGAAGTTAACTAAAAATTATAAAATAGTATTTTCAAATGAAAATTATTTGAGGTTAAAAATTTCCCACTACTAAGCAGGGYATCTGTCTATAGTCCCAGATATCTGGGAGGCTGAGGCAGGATCTCAAGTTCAAAGTTAGCCTCAGCACTTTAGTGAGGCAAACTAGCAATACGGTCTCAAAATAANTTTAGTGAGGCAAACTAGCAATACGGTCTCAAAATAAAACGTACAATGAGCTATGGCTGTGGCTCTGTGACCCTTAACTCAATTGCTAGTTAATTTAAACCTCGTAACAGAGCCAGGATGTAGTATAGCTTAGTTTGTAGAGTACTTGCCTCTCATGCACAAGACCCTGGGTTCAATCCCCAACAAAACAAAAAAAAAAAAAAAAAAAAGAAAGAAAGAAAAGAAAGAAATCCCAGTATTGAGATAAAATTTAACTGTAGGAAAATAGCTTTGGGGGATATCTGTACTACTTGCTGATCGTACACTAATCTAGTTATACTCTATCATCTATGTGTTTCCCTTATTTCAAAACTAAGAGTTGAATAGACAAGTTTTATTTAAAAATAATATTGAGAGGGCTAAGATATAGCTCAGTGGCAAAGTATTTGCCTTGCTTTCGAAAAGCCTTGGGTTCAATCCCCATTTCCAAAAAAACCAACAAAATAATAATAATAATATCGAGAAGCCAGACATGGTGGTGCACACCTATAATCTCAGCAACTCAGAAGGCTAACACAGGAGGATCATAAGTTAGAGACTAGCTTCAGCAACTTAATAAGACCCTGTCTCAAAAAAATAAAAAGGAATGGGGATGTAGCTCAGTTGTAAACTGCCCTTGGGTTCAATCCCCAGGACCACAATTAATAACAACAATAATAATGATTTCTCTTAATTATATTTTATTTTTAAATTATATTTTATTATCATTAACAATAAAATGGGAATATTAATCATATATTACATATAATAGAGCATAATATATTTATGTTGCATAATATAATCTATATTACCTGATTATTATATATATGTATTTATATTATGATTGTATGATAATGTTAATATTATTTATAATAAAACTATTGTTAACATTATTATTATTGGGAAATTTATTCTAAATATCTGGTGAATTCTGTTGGGCTGACAATGCATGCCACATGAATGTTCATGAATAAATGGAATCTACCAGTTATTAGAGAAGAAAATAGATGTTTGATATACATTCATGTTTATGAGCCCTGAAATGTTATTTGGACATTTCTAATTTAAAATATGGAAGTCTGTGATTATACAAGGTGTACTATTTTCCAATAAATCTATTGTTTAGATTCATTGTACGTGGTCTAGAATGAAGTTCAGTAAATATTTACAAAATATGTTGTAAGTCTAGCAAATAAAACCCACTCAGGTAATACATTAACTGTATTTAATACATAACTCCTTGCAAGAAGAAAAGCAGAAGATCCAAGAAATACTTAAAACATTATATTAGGAAAAAGAAAGTGAAAAATATCAAACTCATTAGCAGAAATTGAGAAAGTATAAAATTTTGAGGACAATCCAAAAGAGTCAACACTGCAGTTTGGAAAAATCACTTTATTTAATTACTACCAATGCTGCCTTCAGGTTTTAAAGCTTTACAGCAGGAATTGTTAGGGGATTATTCATTTGCTGGCTAATTATTATCTTTTATTCATTTAGTATTCATCAAGTGCTTCCTCCAGATAATTTTTGTTCTCTTTTTGGTGCCTAGGATAATAATAAGTAAACATGTTAGAAACTGGCCCTGGTTTCATGAAGTTTATGTGCAAATGTAGGTGACAAGTTTTATAGTTGTTAATTTCAATTCTTATAATTGTTTTGAAGGAGGCTAACACGGCAGAGGAAAATCTCTGAAGTGAGAAAGATTAAAAACAACAGAGAGACTGACTTTAGACAGATTGCAAGTTCAGGTCCAATTTGGACCTGTCTCACAATTAAAAGGGCTAGAGATGTAACTCAATGGTAAGGATCCCTAGTACTGGGGAAAAAAAATCCTGATTCCTAAAAATAAATGGAAACTTAAAATTTTCCACAAAATTGTCTAAAGATTTTTGTCATTCATCTAAAGAATATGGGAATAAGAAGGAGCAAATATATGGGGTTTTGAAATAATAGGGAGGAATTCTGAGTGACTGCCCTAGGTTCAGAGTAATTGAAAACTGATTATGACCAGACATTGAAGGGTCTTCATACCATATTAAGGAAATGGACTTTGTGGGCTGGAGATGTGGTGTAATGGTACAGCTTTTCCTAGCATCTGCAAGCACCTGAGTTCTATCCCTAGCACCAAAAAACAACCTAACAAAAAAAAAAAAAAAAAGGACTTCTTAAAAAGGGCAATGAGAAAAGTTGGAGATTTGTTAATCGAGAAACTGACTTGAAAGATAATTTCAGACATGAAAGATTAGAGATGAGGGTAGTAACTAGGAGACCAATTGGGAACTTACTATAATAGTCCCACCAGGAGATGGAAGGGCAATATTAATGTAAAAAAGAATTCAACAGTAAAATTAAGAGAACAGTTGTACTTGGGGGTAGGAAGAGAGATGATGAGGTAAGACAAAGCATTTGAGAATGACTTCAAATTAATCTAGATAAAGAATATGTGAGAATATAAAAGTTGTGAAGCCTTGAGTATAAGTAACGTGAAAATATATGTTTTTTGTTTTTAAAGTTTGAAATGTCTAGAGTATCCAGGTAAGCATCTCTGGTAGCCAATTGGAAATACAAATGTGAACATCAAAAGACATTGTCAAAGGAGAAATCAGAGCCAGACAACCAAATTTCTCATGACCATATACTTGAAGATGTATGAATTGCTGGGATCTCGTAGGGGAAGTATGAGAAAGCTTTTGTTAGAACCGTGGTGACTATTGACATTGAAGAGATTGTTAAAGGAAACCAAAATTTGATAACCCCAAATGGACCTCTTTGACCTAATATTTTTTTTTGTTGTTG